AAAAATAAAACATAATAAAATCATTCTCACGACGTTTCGGCCACAACGCAAGCAGCCGTCCTCAGGTGGAGAACAGGTCTGTCAAGGCGCTCTTCGCCCCTCCATCCCAGCTTAAATAGTCGCTCCAAGCCTGGGGCTTGTCATTCAGACTGTCTTCTCGACAGACCTGTTCTCCACCTGAGGACGGCTGCTTGCGTTGTGGCCGAAACGTCGTGAGAATAATTTTATTATGTTTATTTGTATTATTTTATTATTTCCATTCTACGTGACTTTACCGAAAGAACCAAGAAGAGGAAATATATTATAGTTTAGTTTCATTAGCGCGCCATGAATTCAACGCTGACCCCATGCATACCTACCGATTTCGCCAGGGCCTCTCTTTTCATTGTGTCTGTTTTTTGTGTGTGGTTGTTCTTTTGTCAGTGGTCGCAGCGCCGAAACATCGGGGCCGTCTGTCCATAGAGAGGACAAGCCACCCCCGTGCGCCAAACTCAGCAGAACTCGCAGAGCCTTTGACAAACAAAGAGTTTGGCTTGGTCAAGGACTTTCTCTCGCGCGCTGTTTGTTTCCGCCGAGCTGCGCGAGAGCACGCGGCTTCTCTCCTTCTGCGATTAGCATTTTATTTAAATATATACTTTATTTACTACTTTGTGCCACTGCGGCTAGGTCCATGTAACCCCATCATGTACGTGCCTGTCATGTACGTGGTTGGGCAGCGGAAGGCAAGTTCGGCAAAACAAGTCCATTGTTGTACTGTACTCCTATGCTGAAGGATGACACATTCGGTAGATAAATAGATATGAGATTGGTAGATGAGATTTATGAGTCCCAACATTCCTTTTATGTCTGTCAGGAAAAAAATCGCGAAAGGCGCAGCCCTGCAATTGCTCCCTCACGCCACTGCTGGTGGACAGTAACCTCTCCGTGAGGAAGCTCCAGAGAGCCTCTCTAAGGAGGATTTTGGCCTACGTCCGGCAAGGAGTTACATTGGTGCTAGATTTCATTTGATGGAAAAGCTGCCCGTTTTCTAACTTACATCTGCGGGTTAATTTGTTAACTTTCTTAAAATGTCGCGGTTTTCTCAAGTCCCCTACGGTGTAAAGTGCATCTCCGGTTAATTAAAAATCAAGCGTTAAGATAATATGTATTTAGGAGGGCGAGACTCATTACACGAAGTTTTTTCCCCCCCTCAAGCACTCTGACTATCGTGTAAATGGATACACAAGTGAAAGTAAAGGTGCAGCCCTTGCAACTGCTTGCTCACTCCACTGCTGGCGGAAGAACTCGACTTAGAGGGAGCTCTGGAGACCACCCCTCTGGTAGACGGTGGTATTATTCCTGCTCTTCCACGACGTTGAAACGTCTTGGAAGAGCTGAGAGTAGCCAGGCTTTACCCCACCCACAAGCGACCCGCTGATCTACTGGCTAACTGTGGTGCATCCATGTATGCTGCTGGGTGGACAGAGGCGGCTGGGGCTTTAAAGAAACGTTCAACGGATGCCGACGAGTGCGTTATAAAAAAAAGTAACCCGTAAAAACAAAGTTTTTCACTATAAATCCTTTATATGCGTGGCGGCTAGAGTACTCTCGTCCTCTGGCTTGAGATGGCTGCCACCTATGAGTCAGATGATTGCCTGCCACCATTAAGCAATTGGTAATTAAATATAAAAAAAAATTCCTAAAATGTTGAAAATTTTGGAAAAAAAAATTTCACGAAAATAAATTGTCACGCACAACGAGTCTGTGTGCAAAATGTCAGCTCGATTGGATCACGGGAAGTGGGTTAAAAAACGACCGAAAGATTTGCACGGTCGTAAGCGCGCAAGCAAGCACGCAAGTGAACTTAATATAAAGGATTTAAAAAAGAAACACGTGCGAGGTGACTCCAAGATTCACGCGTTCGTCCACTGTTCACACTGGGACTTTCTCGGGGTCAATTACTCACCCAGCACAACCCCAGTGAGTCCCAATGCCTTATTTCAAGAGGGCCTTGCAACCTTGCATGGGAGGTTTGGCCAATTCCATTTTACGCGTGGCTTCGATTCGCGTGGGATGATAACCGGGGAATCCCGGAGACAACCCACCGACGCATTCGAGCGGGAGACATTCAAAGCTCCGCACAGATAGACTCAATACGGATTGTTGTTTCAGATTCGAGAGGCAATCAGATCACAAATCTTCCCGGGTAGACCACTTCTCTCGGACGCGTTCCATTCCGTGGCTGCCACTCCGTCATTATTATTCATATTCTTAGGTTTTTTCGGTAAAGTCACGTAGGTAAAAAAATAAAATTAATAAAAGTAAAATAAAATAAAAATTACGACGTTTCGGAAGCAACACAAGCCTCCGTTTTCAGGTGGAACAGTCACAGCACGATAGCTGTATCAAGTGAGAAAGCTTTAAATCTAGAATTCGTCATTATTCTTGTCCATCGGTCATCATCACTTGTGTCATTTTACATCCAGGTGGTTAAGCCCGACTATTGCGCCGTATCGCCAATGTCATGAGGCCCCACTCCTTCCTACGCGTGGATCGGCCATTGTGATGTCTCCGTTACACGTGACGCGGCTCTTGTCTGGGTGGTGACCGCAGTCTCCGCACAACTGAGTTTTCAACCTTCCATTTGTGCATCATCATCATCATCGTCGTCGTAGACGTCGCGGAGTATTCGCGCCTGTTGCTGCCGTGGTTTGTGCACTGGATGCGGTTCAGGGGGTCGTGGTTCAGCAGTTGTTGCGGTGGAGATCGACTGCCGGGGAGGGAACTTTGCTCTTCGCGTCTCTCGCGAGGCGTTTTGTTTGCGACTTCTTGCGAACCCCATTCGTCGTCACAGGCAGCGGCAGGGCCAACCGTAATGATGATCGCGATCGTTTATCCTTTAACCGTCTGTGTTTTTCTGCCTCTCGATGTGAATCCAAGCGCGGCGAACGATATATAAAATGCACGCTATCGATTCATTTATTTGCATTTGAACTTTGCACAGTCGCTCTCGGGTTATGGCCTCCTTTATGGGACGACGTCGCGCCGTTGATATTTTAATAATATTTCTACTTAAAAATAATTATATTACTGTGTTCCCCCCGCCCGCCCGCCCCCCAGCATCGAGTTTCGCAGCCATCCAAAGCGCCGCGACGCGCGGGGAGAGTGCGGCTCGACACGCGGTTCGCTCTGCGAGACGGGAAGTTGAGGTGGGTGCACGGGTGGCACGGGGAGGTGGGAGCCAGGGTGGGGCTCGGGGGATGGTGGCACGACCTTGGAGCGCTGTGGGAGCCAGGCGAGTGCGAGGTGCGTGAGTTAAGTGTTCGCAGGGCGTGCGAGGAAGGGTGGAGTCGCGGGTGGGAGGGATGAGGGACCAAGGTGGGATCAGGTGGGAGCGAGTGGGAGGTGGAAGCAGAGTGGGAGTGAGGTGGGAGCAGGGTGGGAGTAGAAGGGAGGTGGGAGTTAGTGGGAGGTGGGATCAGGTGAAAGTGAGAGGGAGGTGGGATCAGGTAGGCGTGAGTGGGAGGGAGGTGGAAGCAGGGTGGGTGTGGGAGATATGTGGAATCAGGTGGGAGTGAGTGGGATCCAGCTGAAAGCGAGTGAAGTGGAGTGGGTTAAAGTGTGGGTGTTCGGTGGGAGGGAGTTGGGTTCAACAAAGGTGCAGGTGGGATTGTCGGAAGGAGATGGGTGCAAGGGTGGGTGCAGGATCGGTGGTGCGAGGTTGAGGCCGAGTGAGCGCCAGGTGGAAGCAACGCGGGTGCGAGTAAGGCGTGAGATGACAGCTGCTGCCCGCGATGATGGTGCCGATGATGACCGTTGTCTTGACACTGCGCACATTCGCAACACCGCGTATCGACGCAGAACCGCACGAACACGTTTGCAGATGTCACGTTACAACCCCAAGACAGTGGCGATGAGGATGACAGTGGTGGTGGTGGTGGAGACGCACGGATCTGTATTGTGACGCGTCGTACGGCGAAAACATTCGGACGACGGCGGCGGTGATGATGATAGAGACACGATTGTGGTTGACGCTATCCATAATCTCTGCGGCCACAACAAAGTTGCTGCAAAGACAGCGCGCACGCTGCGCGTAATGCGCGCCGCCTTTAGGATCGGAGAGCGCCGAGCGCATTCATCACGCACGCTGCATAATGTGGTTATCGGCTGCCCGATTTATTGAGTTGTAAAACAAGCTCCTCTCTCTCCCCCCTCTCTCTCTCTCCCCACTCTCTCGCTCCCCTCTCCCCTGCTCCCCCTCTCGCTGTCGCAACGCGCCACTGTACACGGGAGCTTTGTGGGCCCGACCTAATCCGACCCACAAACTTCTTGGTTTGAGTCTGGGTCCCCACTCCCTCCCCGCCAACTCCTGAACCCGTTCCGTCCCGTTCTGCTGCTCCATCTCCTCCCGGTACACGTCTGCTCGAGTTTCGGGTCCCCGTGCTGGTGCTCCCTCCCCTACATCTCCAACCCCCCCCCACGCACTCCCCACCCCATCCATCCACCCCCATCCTCCACCCTCGCCACCACCACCACCACCCTGACCTCCTCTCCTCTTCCTACCCGGTCGTCCCTGGCCCCTGGGGGCCACGGCGCTCGGGGTCCGCCTCGCCGCTCCCATTGGCTCGGGGAAGCGACGCCCCGTGACGCCTCCTCCCTCCTCCTCCTCCTCCATCCCTCCAGCGCCCCCCCCTGCTCCCCCATGTCCCTTCATCCCGACGTCTGCGGGGAGGAGATCTTTGCTGCTCGCCTGTCTGGGTAGGGCGGAGCTGGGGCGGAGAGCAGAGAGGAGGTTGGGTGGATGTGTGGGACGGGTGCGTGGCGGTGGCGGTGGCATCAGCAGTAGTAGTGGTGGGAGGAGCGCAAGGGGGGGGGGGTGTGGGATAAGGGGGACTCGGGGTGGGAGTAGGGGGGTGGGAGTAGGGGGGAGGGAGGGAAGGTGGGGTTGGGTGGGAGGTAAGGGGGAGCTAAGAGGGAGGGAGGGAGGATCCTTTATTTTTTTTCTTGCTTGAAGAGCCGTGAGCTGGGTCGCGTCTCCCTGAGCGCTGCGGAGAGCGGACGGCACGGATAGTGAGAGCGCGAATCGCACTTCACAAGCGGCCGTTCGGAGACTCTTCTTCTTCCTCCTCCTCCTCCTGCTCCTCCGCTTCATCATCATCCTCCTCCTCCTCCACTCTCACTTCTTGTTTGGCGGCGAGCTGAGGAGGTAAGGGGGAGGAGTCACTCGCCGGGACTCGTTAACTCCATGGCGGGCCGCGCGCGATGTCTCGCGTATGGTTCTGATGCTGTTGTTGTGTTTCCCTTTAAACAAAACAAGGGGAACAAAAAACAAAACGAACGGCTGTTGTTGTTGTTGTGGTGTCGGTGGCAGTGGTGTTGTTAAAGGTCGCCGCACCGGCGTAAGCGTTTGACGATGATATTTAAAGTCTTGGGGATGTGGACGATGGTGATGGACGGAATGAATGATGAGTGCAATTGAAATATGGAAGAATTGAATGATGAAGGGGGGGGGGGCACATCGGAGCGAATGAATTATGGAGGTGATGGATGATAGAAGGAATGGTAGGATGGACGGATTGAGGATGAAGGGATATAAAAACAATTAATGATGGAGGGAAGGAAGGAATGATCGTGCGGTGGGGGCGGTTGGGGGATGCTGCGGTCAATGAATAATGAATGATGAGGGAGGGATTGTTAAAGATGAACGATGGATGGAAATCAATGAAGAACGGCGGAGGGGAACGAACGAAGGCTGCTTGCACCTGCCATCGGCTTCCTCTCCCAGCACACCCCCTCCCTTACCCCCCCCCCCCTTACCCCCCCCCCCCCCTTCGCACGCGGTGGAGTTTCCACCAAGGGCGCCGCTTGTCTTTGAGTTTATGGCGCAATTTGTGCTCCGCGCGCACCAATTATTACCATAGTGCTCTCGGACATAAACTGGTGACTCATAAATGAGAGGCGGCTTTTTGATGTTGTTGTTGTTGTTGTTGCGATGAGCTTCGGATACGGCGACATCAACAGCTGTAAATTACACGCCGCGCCGTTAATGCGCTACGGCTCCGCGTGTACCCCAGGTATACTTTGCGTGCAGCTTTCTACACGTGTATGTGTGTGAGTGTCTCTGTGTGTGAGTGTTCGTGTGTCTCTGTGTGTGAGTGTGTCTGAGTGTCTGTGAGTGTGTGTCTGTGTGTGAGTTTCTCTGTGTGTGAGTGTCTCTGTGTGTCTCTGTGTGTGAATGTGTCTGTGTGTGAGTGTGTGTCTGTGCCTTCATAGATGCTCGCTAACAGCACTTGCTCAACAGTCTTTTAAGGCTATACGGGGGATCTTTGTCTGTGTGTGAGTGTGTGTCTGTGTGTGTCTGTGTGTGAGTGTGTGTCTGTGTGTGAGTGTGTGTCTGTGTGTGAGTGTGTGTCTGTGTGTGAGTGTGTCCTGTGTCTCTGTGTGTGAGTGTGTGTCTGTGTGTGAGTGTCTGTGTGTGTCTGTGTGTGTCTGTGTGTGTGTGTCTGTGTGTGTCTGTGTGTGTGTGTCTGTGTGTGTGAGAGTGTGTCTGTGTGTCTGTGTGTGTGTGTCTGTGTGTCTGTGTGTCTGTGTGTGTGTGAGAGTGTGTGTGTGTGTCTGTGTGTGTCTGTGTGTGAGTGTGTGTGAGTGTGTCTGTGTGTGAGTGTGTCTGTGTGTGTGAGAGTGTGTCTGTGTGTGTGAGAGTGTGTCTGTATGTGTGAGAGTGTGTCTGTGTGTCTGTGTGTGTGAGTGTGTTTGTGTGTGTCTGTGTGAGAGTGTGTCTGTGTGTGAGTGTCTCTGTGTGTATGTGGGGAGCGGTAGTGGAGCGGTTAGCGCCGCTGCGCTACGAACCCGGCGACGCGGGGTTCGATTCCCGCTCACGACCAACACCCGGTTACGATTATCTGAACCGGTCCTTGGCCTCCCCTAGGTCGACTCGGCGTCAAATGAGTACCTGGTGCGGTGCGTAAACATCGCCACTGGGGATACAAAAGCGGTCGGGCGTGGTGCAGGCCACCCGACCCCTCGTGCGCCGTTACCGCCGCTACGAGAACTTGCCCCAACAATAGTCCGTTAAAGGCTACACGGGGGATCTTTATCTTGTGTTTGTGTGAGGAGCGGTGGTGCAGCGATTAGCGCGCTGACCGCTCCGAACCCCGGCGACCCGAGTTCGATCCCCGCTACTCGTCATGCGCCTCCCCTGGTCGACTCAAGCCTCAAACGAGTACCTGGTGCGGTGTGTGAAAAACACATCGCCACTGGAGAGACAAAGGCGGCCGGGTGTGGTGTTGGCCACCCATCCCCCACCACGTGTGCCGTTCCGACCTTCATAGGTACTCCTCGCTAACAGCACTTGCCCCAACAGTCTGTCAAAGCTACGCGGGGGATCTTTGTCTTGTGTGCATTGAGCATTTTGTGCGATGTGTAAACATCGACACTGGGGAGACAAAGGCGGCCGGGCGTGGCGTTGGCCACCCACTCGGTGTGTCCTTGCCGGCCTTCATATCGGTGCCGGCCTTCATATCGGTGCTGGCGAACAGCAACTTGCGACCAACCCTGTGTAGGCTACACGCGTGTCGGGGGGGGGGGGGTGTTTGTCATTATGATGTGTCTTTGTATGTCATTATGCACGTGTCTTTGTACGTTACTGTGCGGTGTTTGTGTTTTGTGTGCGTTGTGTATTTGTGATCGCTCACAGAACTACCAGAACCTGCTTCGTGTCTAATATTTAGTGGAGCGGTTGTGTCGGAAGCCCATCGCGCTGGAAACCCGGCGACCCCGAGTTTAATTCCCGCTCGTGCCAAATCGTGTGGGGCGGATATTTGAACCGGTCGTGGGCCCTCGCCTAGGTCGACTCAGCCTTAAACGAGCAGTAGCTCGCGTGGCGTGCCGGCCTTTATGGGGTGCTGCAACTCGCGAACAGCACTTGCCCCAACACTCTGTTCAAGGCTATATGGGGGATCTTTGTCTTTTGCACGCTAGCTTGCACGGACAGCCCGTGTGGGCTGTACGGGGGATCTTTGTCTTTGTTGTGTAACGTGTCTTTGTATTTGTGCGCCTGTGTGTGTATTATGTATGTGTGCCCGTGTGCGTAATGGGGAGTGTGTCTGTGCGGTTATATGCGAGTGTCTGTGTAAACGCGTTCATGCGCAATTGTTTATGCGAGTGTGCATGTGGGGGGAGAGGTCGAGGAGCGGTAAGCGCGCAACGCAACGAACTTGGTGACACGAGTTCGATGCTCGCTCACGGCACAACAGCATTGGCGATTATCTGAACCTGTCCTGGGCCACCCATAGGTCGACTCGGCCTCGACATGAGTAGCTGGTGCGGTGGGGAGACAAAGGCGGTCGGGCGCGGGGCTCACCACCCACCACCTCGTGTATCGTTCCAGCCTTCATAGGTGCTCGTTAACGGCACTTGCCCAAACAGTCTGTGAAGGCTATAGTAGGATATTAATCTTAGACTTGTGTGTAATGTATCGTTGTATGTATCTGTAAATGCAATGGTTGGGGGGGGGGGGGTACAAAGATCCCCCCGATAGCCTTCATCGTGCTGTTGGGGCAAGTGTCTATGGTGGGGAGATGGTGGGGAGCGCTAGTGTATATGGTGGGGAGCACTAGTGTCTATGGTGGGGAGCGCTAGTGTCTATGGTGGGGAGCGCTAGTGTCTATGGTGGGGAGCGCTAGTGTCCACGCGAGTTGGAGTTGCGATCACGGGCAACATCGTTGGCGAGTGATCACCTGAACCCGTTCCTGCCAGCCCCCCCCCACCCCCTGCCGAGGTCGACTCAACCTTTTAATGAGCACCCTGGCGCGGTGTGAACATCATCAGTACTGGGAAGACAACGGTGACCGGGTTGTGGGTATTACCCACCACCACCAACCACCCTTTTTTAGTGCGATTTTGTCCCCCAACAGTCTAGAAAGTCTTTGTGTGAACGGGGGAGGGGGGGGGGTGTAGGGGTCTGCGCGCCGCGCTACGAACCGCGGGGACCTGATCTCGATCCCCGGTCACGGCTGACATCGGTGGCGAGTGCTGGGGTGGGCCTCCCCGCTTCCAAGTCGACTTCACCTTGTGATGAGAGTGTCTGGAACTGGGGAGACAACGGTGGCCGGCCGTGGTGTTTGCCACAACACCCATTCGTAGTGGCTGTACCAGCCTTAATAGGTGCTCGCTGGCGAGCACTCGTCCCCAAAATTCTGTTGAAGGATCGTTGTGGTTGTATATGTGGTGATGAGGAGGAGGGTGATTATTGTGTAAACAGACGAGGCAGTGTGTAAAAGTACGAGGTTAAGATATTGTCGTAAACGAGGGACTTGCTTTTATGACTTAATAGGTGCTCGCTAGCAACGCTTGCAAGAACAGTTTAACACGTCGGCTTTCGCGACCAATATCATCCATAATATAGGTTTTTGGGGGGCTAAAACAACAACCTCTTATGGGCTTGCAAGAACTGTCTATGTAGGCTAAGCAGCGGATGCGTGTGGTGTGTGTATGCGTGCGCGTGGCTATAATGAACGCGTAAAATTGGGAACGTGTAAAATCGGCAGCGCGTAAAATGCGACGTAAGATATCGTCGTAAAACAAAAACGGGCTCCACTGGCTTTGATGAAATTATCGACAAGTCGGATCGATTCTCGCCTTTCAAAACCACGCCGCAGCTGCGTCACACGGGCAGGCCAATGTCAAACGAAGAAGTGTAACGCCACCGTGGAGGGAGAGTGACCGTGTTTTTATTTTACATCCCCATTGTCGGAATGAGTGGAAAAACCCCCTTCCAAAAAAAATCGCGCACGAAAATTCGTTCTAATCGGCGCTAAAAATGACCTCTTTAGGAGGCGGCGGTGGGGCTAAGTTGAAGGCGGTTCCTCTTATTATTATTATGTGTCAGAGGCATTTACGTTTTCAAAAAAAGACAGGAATTGAAAGCTTAGACTAAATTATAAAACGCACACACACACACGCGCGCACGTACGTACACAGCACGACGCACCGGCTGCATGACACTGGGGCCACACAACACTGCTTTCGTTTGCTAATGCGTTAATCCGGTAGCTGTCTGAAATATCCCCAAATGTTGTAGCTTCCACCCCATCTCGCCACCACCCCCCACTCACCACCACGCCCTGTCATGCAAGATGATGAGGGAATGGATCTGGTAATAACCGGGTGTGTTTTCTCTCTCTACCCCCACCCACCCACCACCAC